AACAAAAAAATAAATGACACATTCTTCCGTAGATGGGCAATATAGGGAGGATTATGTTAGATTTTTGGGGGGCTCTTTAACAAATGGTGGATTTCAGAACTCCTGACTAACGCACTTTGTGCGATGCTTCGTCCTCACAGCCTGGCGGAATGCCGACGTTGTATCCAAACTGATCTCCTCATGTGCATAAGCGGGCAGAAGCTACCATGCGAATTCTCGTTTGCTGGAAGCCTAAATTCACCAGATGCTTTAGGCTTGCGGCACCTGACAGCAGATGAGCATGAAGCTGCAGGTCATTCATTCACTAACTGATCATCAAACACCATGCAGCGCGCACGTGTGTGCTTGTGAGTTTGCCAGGGTGAGGGGGAGGGGAGGGACCGGGAGGGAAGGGGGGAGTGAAATAGACTGCGATCCCACACCAACTCGAGCTTTTTCCATGGGAAGGCCATATCCATTGGACCTTGTTGCCTATACTCAAGAGCTGATATTGCGGGTTTAGGGTTGAGGGTTTTAGTCAAAAGGGTTTAGGGTTCACGAAGGTTTAGGGTGTTTAGGGTCATCGCAGGGCAGTTGCCAAGAAAAGAAAGGGCATTTAGGGCTTAACAGGGGTTTAGGGTTTAGGGCTTAGGGTTTAGGCTTTAGGCTTTAGGAGAGTTGCGCTCAGCACGCACCAGGTCTCCCAGGCAGCAACTCCCTCCAGTCATGTGGGAGTTTACGAAAATAGGGGCACCCTTTTTGGGGGTCCTGTAAGGGGATTCTACTCTGTTTGGGGTATAAACCCTAAACCCGAAACCCTTAACCCTAAATACCCATGTGGGCCAGGATCCTGCAGCTGCCAATGCCTTGCTCTCAGCTTGCGAGAAGACCTCGCGACTTGACTCAGTGGGAACAACCCTAAACCCTATACCCTAAACCCCTAATACCAACTGAAGCTCCAAAGCTACAGTAGATCCTGAACCTAGGCCCTGAGCTTGGGTTTCGGGTTTTGGGTTCAGGATTTGTGGTTTATAGGGCACCCAAAAGCTTCCCATCCCAAACCCTAAACCCTAAACCCTAACCCTAAACCCTAAACCCTAAACCCTAAACCCTAAACCCTAAACCCTAAACCCAAAAGCTTCCCATCCCAATTCAACACGCCCCTATGGTTTATGGACGCGCCCCACGTGTTTTGGGTTTGGGCTTCAGCCGTAATTTACTCTCGGTTTGAAATGGGTTTGTGGTTTTTGTTGGGGGTCCAGGATTTTGAGCCCTGGCCCTGAACCCTAAACCCTAAACCAGAACCCTAAACCCCACACCGGCCATTTGGTTATTTGGGACTCAGGTGTTGGAGCACGGCGCTGCTTTTGTCTCCGCAGGCCCTGGACGACGCAGGTGCCGAAGGGCATGCGATGTGGCATGGGTTAGGATTTAGGGTTTAGGGCTTAGGGCTTAGGGTTTAGCAAGAAGGTCTCAGAGTACTGATGAGTAAGGTTAAAAGTGGGGGAACTATGGTTTTTACAACATCATTCGGGGTGCTCACAACCGTATGTATAAGTACCCATGAAACTTCAAGCGCCCAAGACCAGTAACCGCTTCTAAGAGACTTCCACTTTGCCCAGATACTTCTAGGGTTACATGGCCCCTTAGTATGGGCCCTTAAACGGGTACCCCTCATGTACCCCGTATACACCCAAAATAAATTAAGGGCCCATACATCAGAACCCTTTAAGGACCACATAAAGGGACCATGTAGCCCTAAACCCTAAACCCCAACTTTCCCTAAACCCTCAACCCTCAACCCTAAACCTTAAAACTTAAACCCTCAGATAAACCCTTCACCCTAAAGCCTTAACCCCAAGGAACAAGCCCTGTTGCTAGAACTCCCAGCCAAGGCCGGGAGCATTTTTAGGGTTTAGGGTTTAGGGATTTTCGGGGATCGACGCCCACTCTTGTAGAAAACGTGTGTTCTGTTTAAGGTCTAAGTTGAGGGATTCGGGTACAGGGGTGGTAGAGTTCCATAAGCTGGAACGTCGCCCCGTAACCCCGCACCCCTAACCTCCAAAAGCCCTAAAATCGTCATAGGCTATGGTACCCTCATCACCGCCACGGCGCTATCCTTGCACTGGACCTGGAGCCTTTTCCTGCTTCGCGCCTTGGGACCTGTCTTGGAACGTGAAGTATATTCTTATATCATGGGTTCCCCTTCTACCCCCCTCTCGACTACTCCCCCTGAGTTCCCCCATAATTAAGGCTATTTTGGGATGATATAAGCTTAAGGAAGGTTATTTGAGGGGGGTAACCTAGGGAGGGTAGTATAGAGGGGGGTAGTAGGGAAACCCATGATTACAAGGGGTTTTGAGGTTGAAGGTCCAAGCTTTGGTTGGTTTAGGGGTTTAGGGTTTATTGTGTCTGGCATCAAGAAAGAGTTTAGGGGGGCTTATTCGTATCGGAGCGGCAAACCCTTTCGTACGACTATGCATGGTTTGGGGGGTACCTCCTCCCTTGCTAAACCCTAAACCCTGTTTCCAAGTGGGTATACAAAAATCGAAAGCTTCTCAAGCGCGCGGAACAAATTAGAAGTGACTGGGATCCTATAGACAATCGCATGGAGGGGTTAGTTTTGGGTTTTGTTTTCTGGGCACTCTTTTCGGATAGTTGCCTAGTGTGGCTATAGGGTTTACCAGGAAGCAAGTCATGTATGACTGGCTTAGGATTGGGCGAAGGGGTAGGGCTTGTAGATCCGATCTTGCTTGCTGCAGAGGACCCACCCGCAACACCATCATGGCATCAGGTTTCTCCCCCCCTCCCTCCAAAGCCATCCCCAATCCTCCCCCCCGCCTCTCTGAGGGTCTTAGGGGCTTTCGGTTTTTGGGGGCATGGATTTGGGGTGCTAGGATCGTCCTATAAATCAAGCTACGAAGGTACAAGTTACGAACCACACCCGAGCCGAAAACCCCATAGTAGGGAACCCTAAACCGTGTTTAGGGTTTAGGGTTTAGTCTAGTTAGGGTGCTTTTGGTAGGTTTTCTCAAAACACCTAGAAGGGTGCTTGGACTAGACTCGACACCAGTGCCCTCCAACACAACTGGTCAGGAAGAATGGGCTCACAAGACCTCCGCCCGCAGCCTTCCAGCATACCATCTGGGATGGTTGAACCCCTGGGTTCTTAGTAGGGAAGGACGGTTTAGGGTTTAGGGATGAGGGCCCCCACCGACTATTTGCTTAAGAACCCCCAAGAAAGGATAACATCAGAGTCCCTTTAGTACCCTAATAAGGAAGAACTGTTTTGTTGGGGGGGGGGGGGGGGGGGGGGGGGGGTTCTCAAGCCATTCACAGCACCCTTGAAGTGATTACATAAGACCCTCATTCCGTCATTCCCTACTAAGAACCAGCCAGTAGAGGGTTTAGGGTTTAGGGTTTAGGGTTTAGGGTTTAGGGTTTAGGGTTTAGGGTTTAGGGTTTAGGGTTTAGGGTTTAGGGTTTAGGGTTTAGTAGAGGGTTCAGGGTTCAGAGGTTTCAGGGTGGTTCGTAGGGAAGAACCTTGTTGTTCTCAGGTGTTTGGTTTATGGCATGGGGTCTGAGATTTACAGGGACAGCTTCGCGTGAAAAATTATCGCATACTCGGCTTCCGAAGAGCCCCACAGTAAATACCTAAACCCCAAGCCCTAAAACCCTAAACGATTTCGTAAGTCATTTGACAGTCTGACAGTCATCACTAGGGTGGGGTGGAAAGGCAGCCAACTACTGTCGTTCTCGGCTTTTGCAAGTAGCTCACGGGACCTTAAACCCTAAACCCTAAACCCTCTTATAACCCTAAACCCAGGTCCTTTCGTTCCTTGGTTTGTGTCAACCTCGGTTCCTGGGGGCTGCTTGTTCTCCCGGAGGCCCTAAGTAGGCCCTTGGTCTTTTTTAGGGTTTAGGGTTTAGGGTTTAAGGGTGGTTACATGGTCTTAATTTCGTCCCTGCCTACTTCAAAGCTGTTCTGATACCTGGGCCCTTGGGTTGCATAGGGTATATAAGGGGTATACAATTGAGGGGCCCCTTTCTTAAGGTCCCATGTTTAGGAGCCATGTAACTACCCTACGTTTTACGCTTTCCCCCTTTACAACTTACAAGGATCTTCTCCAGTAAACACTCAGCCCTAACCCACTGTGTGTTTTCCAGCACATTGCTCAGATGCCTGAAAGGGCTTAGGCCAAGTACGGTTTTGCCCTAAACCCTAAACCCTAAACCCTAAACCCTAAACCCTAAACCCTAAACCCTAAACCCTAAACCCTAAACCCTAAACCCTAAACCACAACTCCATGAGCTGAAGGTTCAGCTACTCCTACCAGCGCATCTTGGAACCTGCCGGCGGAGGTTTCATCAGAGAAGGCGGCGGAAAAGTGATTGATGGTTCGTGTTTAGGGTTTAGGGTTTAGGGTTTAGAGTGGCAATAACCTATGGCAGCCAGGTCCATGCTTGCCACCCTAAACCCTAAACCCTAAACCCTAAACCCTAAACCCTAAACCCTAAACCCTAAACCCTAAACCCTAAACCCTTAGGGCTTGTACCCATGAACCTCGAGTCGCAGGAGGGTCCTTCCCAAGTCTGGGTTCTTACGATTCTTTGGGATTTAGGGTTTTGGGTTTAGGGTTTAGGGTTTAGGGTTATTCTTTGGGATGTTGCCCCCTTAGACTAACAGTCCTTAATAGGGATGCGAATCGGGGTACGATAATCCCTATGAAAGACTCCTCAATAGGGATTTTTCGTAGCCCCTGTTATGATCCATTGGGGACTGTTTGCTTGAGAGCCATAGGCGTTCAATAGAGGGTGCTACAGTCCCTATTAAGGACTCTTAGAATGGGTGGGGGGGGGGGGGGCATCCCAAACTATTCTGAATACTGCGAAGGTGTCCCATGACTTCCGCTTGCATTGACACAAGTGGTTTAGGGTTTAGGGTTTAGCCCGGGCTGTGCCGGCAGCTTGTGCAACACGGCGAGGTTCCCGAGTCATGTCGGCCCAAGCAGGGTGTCAGCATGACTGTGAAGACCTCGGGAGATTGGGTATCCCAGGTTCATGGCGGGTCCGTGGCCGTCAGCAGCGTGGGTGTGCAGAAGCAGAACCAGTCGAATCGTTCTAGAATCTCGTCGAGCTCATGCAGCTCCGCCCGGGACAGCGCCTTGCAGATATACCAGCCCAAGGATAGCATGAAGGATTTGAAAGCCTTTGCCGATGTCTTTGCCGAGCACCTCCGGATTGTCATAGGCTGCCTCTCCCAGTCTGACAAGGATCTCGCGGTCGCGGCCGGTGTGATGCAAAATTTCATGGTGGAACTGGTGGGTGCTGCCCAGGTGGTGCTTTTCAAGCTCGCAACTACAGCTTGTAGCACCCTCGAGAACCTGCCCTCGCTCCTTTGGGCAGCGCGGAGTGACCAGGATACTCAGCTGAAGGCATCCATCGCTGAGGTTCACGACAGCATGGCCGCCTTACGCAAAGAGACACAGGTGGGGGGGCCAGGATATACTACCTTATGGGGCTTCATGTTAAGGGGAGAGAGAGAGAGATGTATATATATATATATGCGAATATATCAGGATATCCCTATCCTATTTGTTTGCTTATGTGGTTTTTGGGGCCCCAACAGGCCATCCGCAATGACTACATCGACTTGCTCCAGCAGGTACAGTACCTGGCTAGCTCAGCGGTGCCCTTCTGCCTCCTTTTTTGGGGGGGTTCTATAGGTCTAGGTTGCCTTCTGAAAGTAACACAGCCCCAAAAAGGGTACCCTTATTTTCATGTGATTACTGGGCTCAACCCTAAACCCTAAGCCCCAAACCCCAAACCCTAAACCCTAAGCCCTAAACCCTAAACCCTAAGCCCTAAACCCTAAACCCTAAACCCTAAACCCTAAACCCTAAACCCTAAACCCTACGCCGGGCTACCAAGGTACTTGGGGCACTGCACGCAAGTCACGATGGATCAGTCCATAATCAATTTTCTACCCGAACCTGCGGAGGACGAGAACCCAGGATGCCCTTAGGGTTTAGGGTTTAGGGTTTAGGGTTTAGGGTTTAGGGCTTAGGGTTTAGGGTTTAGGGTTTAGGGCTTAGGGCTTAGGGTTTAGGGTTTAGGGTTTAGGGTTTAGGGTTTAGGGTCCTGGCCAAATCTCGTGGTTTAAGGCAATTTTTTGTGGTTCAAGGCATTTTTGTTCGTGGTTCAAGGCCAATTCTCGTGATTCAAGGCAATTGTTCGTGGTTTAAGGCACATTGCCTTGAACCACGAGAATTGGCCTGGAACCACGAAAACATTGCCTTGAACCACGAGGATTGGAGTTTAGGGTTTCAGGGCATCAAGACCTGGGATTGAGGGTTTCATTGCCTCAAGGACTTTCAAGGATTCAAAGCCTGAGGTTTAGGGTTTCAGGGCCTCAAGGCCTGGAGTTTCGGGTTTCAGGGCTCAAGGCCTGGGGGGAGAGGCAAACGCAGAGATGCAATGGCAAGAACATGAAGTTAATGTAAAGTAATCATATTAGGTGTTTTTGGTTGTGTCCGTTCAGCCTGTGAAGCTGAGATGATTGGAGAATACTTGTATTTTTGTTTTCTCAATGGTACGGGATTCTCTGGGTGGGTGGGTGTTATATCAGAGGCGTAAATAGAACTCTACCATAAAACTGCTCGATCCGGAGCGGCTGAACCCTAAACCCTAAATAAACCCTAAGCCCCGGCCGGGCGGGTGTAGTTCAGTGTTTCGTGCATCTGACTGACCTGACGTGATGCTAAGCCAAAATGCTTGTAAAAGAAGCTTATAACCCCCAAACCCTAAACCCTAATCCCTAAACCCTGTTCCGCTAGCGTGAGAGTCGAAACCCTAACCCTAAACCCTAAACCCTAAACCCTAAACCCTAAACCCTAAACCCTAAACCCTAAACCCTAAACCCTAAACCCTAAACGCCGGTTACCTTTTTTTGTATAAGCCCAGGAATGGAAACCTCGAGTGTACGTTGCACTCGACCCCAGAGTTCAACGACCAGCAACTTGGTGGGTTTAGGGTTTAGGGTTTAGGGTTTAGGGTTTAGGGTTTAGGGTTTAGGGTTTAGGGTTTAGGGTTTAGGGTTTAGGGTTTAGGGTTTAGGGTTTAGGGTGCTCTTGATAGAATATGGTTACTGGGCTACTAAGGCAACATGAGTCGCAGAAGTACTTGGACGTGACACTCACACACCTCACAGACATGTGCAAGCTGTTGGAAGAGTGCTCTGACTTCTGGCTGATGCTGCACCATGCCGAGCTACAGCTCCGCAAGCTAGAAAAAGAGTCTAAGTACTTCTGCGACGGCGACATCCCCGACATGCCTCAGAAGAAATCGCGCGAAACGCCACCGTCGGTACAAGGCTTCTGTGAGCATGTACGCTCGTTTTGCGGCTTCTACTGCGGGGTGCCACCAGTACAAAAAATTAAAGTTCCAGTTGCACGCATTCCGACCCGCTAAAGTGGGCGATTGGCGAACAGCCACAGAACAGTACAGCCGACCGATACTCCGCCCCATGGTGCTTTGTACAGAGTAGTCTCCTTTGCATTCCTACTTCCTAGGACCCGGGACCACACTAACCCAAATCAAACCTTACAAACCCTCAATCCTAATGACCCCGAGGTTACCGGAGTCCTAGAATACCTCTTGACATATCAAACAATCTGTTTCAAGCTGTGATCGGCGGACGCGGTCCAGAAACATCGCGCCGGTTGTGCTCGGGTTTAGGGTTTAGGGACCTTGCTGCTGCCCCGGGTTTTCTCGGCATGCTGCCTTGCAGCCTACATATAGGGATGCCCGAAGCCCCAGACACGGTCCCCAAGACCCAAAAAACTCCTCAACCATGATGGGTTTAGGGTTTAGGGCTTAGGGCTTGGGTTCCTGGCGTGACTTTGCAAGCCAGTTGCAAAAGGGCTTAGGGCTTAGGGTTTAGGGTTTAGGGTTTAGGGTTGAGCCTCCTCAACCCTAAAGAAGGTGGCTGGGTGCCCTCGCTCTTGGTGGAGTGCCGTGGCACAAGTCTTCAAAGGCTTTGGTGCGAGTTCTTCTTTCGGAACTAGGGACTAGGGTTTGGGGGTTAGCATTTAGGAGAGCTCAAGACGTGGGACATATGAGAGAGAGAGAGGGAGAGAGAGCAAGTGCGGGAGAACGGGGGCGATAATCCCAAATAGCCCTAAGCCCTAAACTTCCTAAACCCTCAGTGTGCAAGGAGATAGTTTACTATTTGCTTAAAACAGCGTTCTTCCTTGTAAGGGTATAACATGGAGATGCTTATCCTTTTTTAAAGGGTTCTTAAGCAAATAGTAGTAATGACAGGGTGGGAGAGGGATTCTTGTGAGGTGAACTCAAACCCCTCAAATTCAACTTCTGAAGCACTGCGGACGCCATTCAGACCCCACAAGCCCTATCGACTCTACACCGCAAAGCTGAAAGCCCTATAAAGCCCAGCAAGCCTCCAAAACCCCCTGGTCTATTTATCAACCCTGAACCCTAAACCCTAAACCCTAAACCCTAAACCCTAAACCCTAAACCCCACAAAAACCCATGAACTCCATCAAGCTCTGATCCTCATAATCCCTACCCAGCCCCTTAAACTCTCTGAAAACCCACAATTTAAGCCCTATGAATCCCATGACCCTTGCACACCCTACAAAGCCCCATAGGCACTCTCCGAAGCCCTCTAAATCCTACTAGACCCAAAGCCCCGAAACCCTAAAAAATCCTAAAGCACTAAACCCTAGACTCCCTGAACCCTAAACTCCCTAAAACCCGAATACCCTAACCCCTAGGAACCCTAAACCCGACGAACCCACAGGCTAACGCTTGCCACGAGAGCGGCTATCCGACGCATTCGGGCTGTTGAGAAACGAAAGCGGCGTCATTTCTTAGGGTTTAGAGTTTAGGGTGTAGGGTTTTTAGAGTTTAGGGTTTAGAGTTTGGAGTTTAGGGCTTAGGGGTTTTAGGGGCTAGGTTGCACGATTGGTGAATCATGGGGATCCGGTACCGAAGAACAATACTCTCCTGAGTTTCCGTACTGAAAGCAGTAAACCAACCCTAAACCCTAAACCCACAACCCTAGGGTTTTGGGTTTGGCATGCTTTCCCTTCGGGGCTTGCTGAAAATCCCCCCACAGAGAAACCCAAAGGGTCCATGTACCTGTAGTGTAGGCACTTGGGCCTTAAAGGGTTCAGGGTTCAGGGTTCAGGGTTTAGGGTTTAGGGGTTCCTAGATGGTAGGCTTAGAATCCAAGTATATATACTCTACAGGTACATGGGCCCTTAGGGAAAGGAGTTCCAACGTGTAGAAGAAAAGCGGCCATAGGCAGACGTTACCTTATATGTCGCGTGCTACGTCTGGGGCTTTGGGGTTTAGGGTTTGGGGTTTAGGGTTTAGGGTTGGTGGTAGTAAACTTACAGGGTTTTAGTTCAGACGACCCACATCGCACCGTTGATGGTAGCCTACCCGAAAACCGAACTGTAGGGTTTACAGTAGGGTTTAGGGTTTTCGGGTTTAGGTTTAGGGTTTAGCGCTTAGGGTTTAGGGTTAGGGCCCCTGCATGACTTCCCCAAACTTTGGGCACTTTTTGTTTTTTTTTCTTTTTTTTTTTTTTTTGGGGGGGGGGGGGGGTCCTCTATCACCATGATTTTAGGATTTTTTGGGGAGCTTAGGGGCACCCATCCTCTTCGGGCGGTACCCATAACAGACATGTTGTTTGACGTTGTTGCTCTGTTGCCGCAGCACGTGCTCAATTCTTTTTGTTGGTGCACGGGCGCAACATGGCGCGGCGCACTCAGCTTTCAGTCTCAAGTGTGATAGCTTTCAGCCGACTTCCATAGCTTTATGGTTGAGGGTTGAGGCTCGAGGGTTGTGGGTTCAGTGCCTGCATTCCGATGCTACTTAGTTGCTGCTTCTGGTCAGGGTTGAATGTCAGAGACGCCAGAGATGGGCTTGAAACGCTTTTCCAGAAGTACGCAGTCATACGCAGCTCCCAGCCCTAAAGTGCATGGACCCTCGCCGTCTTGGTAGTCCAGGTTCCACTGCCTTGAGCTTTCCATCACCCCCGTAGAATGCCGCAGAAGTCACTCGTGAGCCATGAATCACAGCATGTGGTTGGGGATATGATGCGCCGGGTGAGTCATCAACTTCCGTTGCGGCCCATCCCTCACTTGAGCTCCTGAAGCCATGAACCTAAACCCCATAACCTAAACCATTCTAAACCCTTAACCCCAAACCCGAAACCCTAAACCCTAAACCCTAAACCCTAAACCCTAAACCGCTATCTCCAGCCCTTGAGCAGCAGCACCCTCAGGGAGAGATCCAAGAGGGCGCTGGACACCAAGGACCGACCGAAGTCCTTGCAAACCCAAAGCCTAAAACCGAAGCCCCAGGTCAGGATTTACGGTTTAGGGTTTAGGGTTTAGGGTTTAGGGTTTAGGGTTTAGGGTTTAGGGTTTAGGGTTTAGTTTAGGGTTAGGGTTTAGGGTTCAGATTCTAGGGTTTAGGGTTTAGGGTATAGGGTTTAGGGTTTAGGGGGCCTACTAAGGCCTATTCTAGGTTTACGTAGGTGTCAGGGGGATGTGTCGAGCTGCGTCAGGACACTCCCGTTCCATTGCCTCGCAACGAGCGGGCCTGACTCAAATTTCACGCAAGCGCAGTTTGTGGACTTAGGATTTATCACGGGTTCCCCTACTACCCCCCCCCCCCCCCGCCCCCCCCCCAAGGGTTTAGGGTTTAGGGTTTAGGGTTTAGGGTTTAGGGTTTAGGGTTTAGGGTTTAGGGTTTAGGGCTACTACCCCCCTCGAAACTACCCCCCATAATAAGGCTATTTTGAAGTTACTTAAGCCTAATCAGGGTCATTTAAGGGGGGAACCAAGGGGCGGCAGCATAGAGGGTGGTATATAGTAGGGGAACCCAGGAGTTTGATCCCCTAAGACTCACAGTCCTTTATAGGGATTCTAGTACCCTTCGCCTATTATGACCCCTATGAAGGACTGCTAGTATAACAAGGAGCATCCCAAGCTGTGGTTTTGGAGTTTTGCAGAGGGGTTCGGGATCGCAGTGGCAATGATTGGTGGGAAACTGTAGCTGAAACTGCTTGTGCTTCGTCATAACCTTCGTTTGGATACTTATGCCCTGCCCCCTGCTCCTGTTGAGCCCCCCCCCTGCCCACCCAGACGTAGCCCATGGCAAACACTTCCGACGTTTGCAGACCTGGGTTTTGGAGGGTTCAGGGTTGGGGATGTTTAGGGTTTAGGTTTTAGGGTTTAGGGTTTAGGGTTTAGGGATCAAATGTTGGTGTATGGTAGTTGGCATCCACTAGAGGGAACACTTTCCGGCGTTCTGTATAGACAGTCCTGTCTTCGATGCTGTCGCATACTGGGAGGTTCATGGGCACTTAGAAGTAGGGCTTTCAGCAGGGTAACTATGGCTACAGCCAGAGTTCGGTTCCTATTATTGCTCTTCTTCACATTAATTAAAATCTTGTTAATCTTGCTGATAGTATTGTTATTATTATTGTTATTATTGCTAATAGCCCTACTTATAAGTACCCATGACCCTCCAAGCATCGTCTCTGATGCACGCGAAGTCATGCGCAGAATCCCTGCTCGGCACCGCAGGGAGATGCCGAGGATGTACTGCGCCTCTTTGTAGCAACCCACAGGAACCCGCCGTGCTACTACAGGGTGTAGGGTTTAATTCGGGTTTAGGGTTTATAGGGTTTAGGGTTTAGGGTTTCCACGCGTATCTCCACAAGATTCTTTTCTCAGAGTTGCCTTCACTCAAACCCCCATGTGCCCAGGGTGTGTGGATCAAGCGGGGCGGGCCCGGTGGGGCCCTAAACCCTAAACCCTAAACCCTAAACCCTAAACCCTAAACCCTAAACCCTAAACCCTAAACCCTAAACCCTAAACCCTAAACCCTAAACCCTAAACCCTAAACCCTGCCGGGGCTCTTGGCCTTTGGTTGATGTTGGATATACGTAGACCTCTTGTTCTCAACCCGGAGCTCTCTGAGATGCCAAGAGGCAGCCCATCCGTGAACCCCTGACCTCAACTATGCTAGAAAAGAACAGGTTTAAGATCCTTGAGCACAGGGTTTAGGGTTTAGGGTTTAGGGTTTAGGGGTTAGGGGTTAGGGTTTAGGGTTTAGGGTTTAGGGTTTAGGGTTTAGGGTTTAGGGTTTAGGAGCTACAATCCTTGTTCCTTCTTGGACCCCCCCAAGAAGGGTACCCACACATCACTTAAGCAACATGCAGCCAGTCAGCAGCTAGTCGTTCCAAGGGACGGGGAGGGACGGGAGGATCGACTTCAGGTCTTGCAGGGACAATTGCTGCAGATAGGTTCTGCTCTTCCATGCCCCGCGTAATCCCTCCAAGTAGACCCACACTTGAGTATTCGAAGCGCCTGGCCAGGAAGGGAGGCATTCTGATCACCGAGGATGAACTCAAGGCTGAGAATGGCTGGGCAGGAGTTAGATACAGGGTTTAGGGCTCAGGGTTTAGGGTTTAGGGTTTAGGGCTTAGGGTTTAGGGTTTAGGGTTTAGGGTTTAGGGGAGAGGGGACTAGGTACCTTTTTGTATACTGACCTCCTACGAAGTAGAGTTGACACCCTGAAGAGCCCTTATAGAATTCAGGCGTCTTCCTGACATTGGGAAATCCTTGTTGCCACTCAAGGAGCTTTCCCTAAAAGGGAGTGGAGTCTTTGGGTAGAAGGTTTTGGGAGTGAAGATCTGAGGGAGAGAGGGGGAGTAGGGGGGGGGGACGCTGTGATCTGGTTCGGAGGGGATGCACCGGGATCCCAAATCTCAAAATTTAGGAGGGTTTCGGGTTTAGGGTTTACCAGAACCCCCCCAAAAAAAAAACAAAAAAAAATTACCGTAGGGTATATCAGTCCCTTCATTGAAGTTTTTTTTTTTTGGGGGGGGGAGGACCCTAAACCCTAAACCCTAATCAAGGCAGGTAGGGTTTATAAGCTCAGGGGGCCGCCCCTGCAAGACGTACTGGTGCTTCGGAGTCGGTCCAGGGTTTAGGGTTTAGGGTTTAGGGTTTAGGGTTTAGGGTTTAGGGTTTAGGGTTTAGGGAAACTCCTACTTGGAGGATCATGGGGCTTTTAACCCAATGATACCGGGTTGCGGGGATTAGGGTTTAGGGTTTAGGGTTTAGGGTTTAATAGCTAGACTTATAGTATAACCACATGTGGGCACTTAAGGGGCTCAGAAGTGGGCTAGAAGCACCAGTATCAATCGGCCCTAAACCCTAAACCCTAAACCCTAAACCCTACTAGTACCATGAACCTTCAAGCATAGAGTTCCTCCGTGATGAGGTGGCCTGGGAGTTCTTCGACACAAGCGGCCCCCGGCTTACATCTGCATCAGTAGCCCAAAACCCTAAACCCTAAACCCTAAACCCTAAACCCTAAACCGTGCCCTTCAGGGGGTAAAGCCCTGCAACTTTCTTAGGGTTTAGGTGTAGGGTTTGGGGTGTAAAGGTGGGAACCCTGCGCCCTGGAATCCCATCTGCAGAAGTTTCAGGATTTAGGGGACCTAAAAACTGTTCTTGTAGGTGTTTTAGAGAAATCCCCTTGTAGTCGGGTTCTTAAAGAACCCGAAAAGAACTGGGAGCTCGGCTCTGAAGGTACACAGGCCCTAAACGTAAATTCTAGGGTTTAGGGTTTAGGGTTTCGGGTTTAGGGTTTAGGGTTTAGGGTTCCCTGTACGTGTGGGCCGAATTCCCCAATCTTGCCTCTTTGTCTAGGGTTCAGGGTTTACGGCTGGGGTTTAAGGGGCCTTTTGGCCAGACCCAGCTGTTCTGTTGCCTGAGGCAAGGGCAAGCTGACCATGTCAGAAATCAAGCGCCGCCTGCAGACGTTCTACAAGGAGCCAACGCGTAGTCAAAATGGCCTAAAGAGTTACCAATCGCATCGCCTCATAATAGCTGTAGAACGAGATTTTCTGCCTATTATCCAGAATGCTCCAACATTCAACAATATAGCCTAAACCCTTACAGCCCTAAACCCTCATAGAGGGTTGGTTGCAGCTTGCTTGTAGGAAGCCACCTGAATTTCTTTTAAGGGTATGCCCAAGGGCTATGTTGAGTATTAACAATGCGGCACAAAAAGGAGCCCTAATAGCCTCTCCCGTAGCCTACGCGACAGACTCGAACGATGCTGCGTAGGGCCCACAAACCCGAATCCCTGCAGTCGCGCTCAGTCGCTCAGATACAGAGACAGCGCCGAGTAAACCCTAAACCCCAAACCCAGAAGCAAAAAGGGTTGCATCCTTGTTGCAAAGCCCTAAACCCACAAGGGCTAGAAATAATTTCAGAAATGAGTAAAAGGGATCCTATACCCTTAACCTCCCCCTGAATATACGCCTAATATGGCACTTCTACTACCTTAAGGATCTTTCTGAAAGAAGCCCCAAATCCCAAGAGTACAACCTTAAGGCTTCAAGGTACAACCCCTAAATCCTAAACCCTAGACCCTAAACCCTAAACCCTAAACCGCAGTCAACTCCAACCTGCCAGGACATCACCACGCGCGAAGTCAAGTTTCTGCTGAGCCTCGGAATAGGCCTTAAAGCCTGCGTCCCAAGAAGGGTGGAAGGTTGCAGAGTAGGGTTTAGGGTTTAGGGTTAGGGTTTAGGGTTAGGGTTTAGGGTTTCGGGTTTAGGGTTCAGGGTTTAGGGTCTAAAGGTTAGGGTTTAGGGTTTAGGGTTTAGGGTTTAGGGTTTAGGGTTTAGGGTTTAGGGAGAGAGGTCAGTGTACCCATTCGGTTCAGAGTTTCGTGATGCCTGTGGCATACGCATGAGCTTGCTGTTATCTTACTGCAATGTTGTGCATTGTTCAAGGCCACCCTAAACTCTAACCCACTGTACGCGCAGCGGCAGAGAGCCAAGTGGTACCTTCTGGCACTCGAGTGGTTGACTTGCGGAACAGGGCTGTGATTTCCTGTGCTCTAACCCTAAACCCTAAACCCCAAACCCTAAACCCCAAGCCCTCAACCCCAAAACCCTAAACCCCTAAACCCTAAACTCTAAACCACTCCTGGCTCCCTGGGAGCTTTTCGGACAACCGAGGTGGCCAGTCGTCATCCCTCCCTATGTAGGGTTTGTTGCAGGGTTTAGGGTTTATATAGGGTTTAGGGTTTAGGGTTTAAAGGTTAGGGTTTAGGGTTAGGGTTTTGGGGGTGTATAGGGTTTCTTTAGGTTTTTTCGCGTTTGGGGTATTAGGGTTGAAGGTTTGTCAGGTTTAGGGTACAGCCGAGGAACAATCAGCCGGAGATCACCTTTGAGGCTCCCGCCTCGGATCTTTGTGGTGCTTTACTGTAACTTTAGATCCTTAGCCTTCTTGGGGTTTATTGGGTTTCTTATTAAGGCAGCTAAAAAGTTATTTTAAATGCTTAGCCTTTTTGGGGTTTATTGGGTTTCTGATTAAGGCAGCTAAAAAGTTATTTTACACCTACCCGACCTACCCTAAGTGTAGCCAAGGGATGGGAGGGGACGGTTCAACCCTAATCACTCCCAAGGGCTCCCTGTCGACTCGAACTCTACACCCAAGACGTGTAGGGTTTAGGGTTTAGGGTTTAGGGTTTAGGGTTAGGGTTTAGGGTTTAGGGTTTAGGGTTCAGGGCTTAGGGCTTAGGGTTTAGGTTTTAGGGTGTAGGGTGTAGGGTTTAGGGTTTAGGGTCGCTCCGACGCTCAGAAAAGCAGGGCACGTCTCGCGTTCCGGAAAGTGCTGCATGTGCATCATGTGCATCGCGTGGCCGGCACGGCGTAGTAAATCTATGTAAGGTTTTTTGCTTTAGGGTTTAGGGATTATGAATTGGGGCACCTAAAGCCCACCCAGTTGCGTCATAGCATTTTAACCTAGCCAACAAGGCCCTTTCTTTCCACTATTTGCTTAAGAACCGCCAAAAAAGACAATAATCCCGTATTACCCTCACAAGGAAGACTGTTTTAGTTTTTTTTGGCGGGGGGGGGAGGGGGTTCTTAAGCAAACAGTAGTTCAGGGTTGATTGTTGGCATGTTCCTCCTTATACTAACAGTCCTTAATAGGGACTATAATAGGGGTACTCTAGGACTATAATAGGGGTACTCTAATCCCTCTTAAGGACAGCCAAGGGACAAGGGATTATCATAAAGGGTGCTCTCATCCCTCCTAAGGACAGTACAAGGGGACATCCCAAGTTAAGGGTTGCTTGTGGTTTAGGGTTTAGGGTTTAGGGTTTAGGGCTGCTGCTGCTGGGACTGCGGACAAGTCAATGATGACGTCTGGTACTATGAACAACGAAGGCGATCGCGCTGTGCGAAGGCCGTGAAAAGGCAAAAACATGCAGCTAATTGTTTGTCGTTAGGCGAAGGCCCTGTGCTACGTCCCCGTCAGGTCGATGGCAGGCTCATTGGCCAGCAGAGCGACGCAGTCAGTGACCGCAGGGGAAAAGTAAAAGGCATCCAGGGCTTGCCTGAGGTCCTCGTGAGACAGGCCAGGTTCCTCTGCAAGCAGTTGCACGGCCGCATCAACGGCATCGGCTGGCGACTGCGTAGTGAGGGGCAAAAGGGGTCCCGCGAGACGTGTAGCAGGGTAGTGCGCGGTTTGGCCCGGCTCTCCATGCACCTGTGTCAAAGGGTTCACGAACATCCCGTGTGTCCATAGGGCCTCCAGACAAGCGGGGCGATCGTGTTGGACATGCCTCAGAACTCTGTCCCTTGACCAGAATTCGGTCAAGCAGCAGGGACAGCTGGTGCCGTCAACGACGGCTGCCGCGTCAGACCGCAGATGGTGCACAGCGAAGCGGTGGGCCCTGAGGGCTTGGAAGGACGCAAAGGCATCGCCGCAAAGGGGGCAGGTGTGGGGCGCGGCGTCGGGGTTTGATGCCGATGCTTTCGTTGGCGGCTGCCGTAGTTCCGCCCAAGCGGCTTTGCGCACCAGTCTGTGAAACCTGGTAGGGCATTCCAAAATGAAAGCCTGTAGGCCCTCGGGGAAGTTAAGCGAGGCAATGGCTGGGAGCTCGGTTCCGGCAGAGAGCCACTGGAGGTCCTTGCCCAGCTGTTCGAGCCACGAGGTGCCTGCACTCACTTGTCTCTCGGCTTGCAGCATTGCAAGCAGGGTCTCCTGCTGATGCGTTAGGCAGCGGGCAAAGTGGTGCAGCCGTTCGCAACGGAGGAACGAGTCCGGAAGGGGCATGCCGGTATAGCGGCATAACTCCTGCGGGCCAGGTAGCGATGGGGCTCCCGTCCATCTATCGTCGCTTGTCAGGAGTCGGACAAGCTTCGAGTAACCCGCTGACCAGAGGGCACTCTCCTCAACCCCCAGCCTAGGCCAAGTTGCAGCAGTATGAGTTATCCGGGACAGGGAGAGCCCGTTCAACAGCTGGCGCCGTTGCGCGATGGGCAAGTGCTTGTTCCGCAGCACGGTCCTAGCCAGGGGCCTGGCGGCTGCGAAGGCCGATGCAAGTTTTTGCCTCAAGTCGGCAATGGCATTGCCTTTGACCGTAACCCTCCCTCCGAGGTGCGAGTAGCCAGGCACACACCCGACAGTAAAAGTGTGTTGCCCCACCGTGAAGTGAAGCCTGCTTTGTTGCCGGACGAAAAGCTCCCTGGCAAGCTCCCGTTTGCCCTTGCCGCTGAGGTGGACAACCGCCTCTGTTTTGCCGGCCTTGTAGTTCGGGGCCTTAGCGCGTCGCATCATTTCCCTGTGCGCAATTTGGAAAAGGCACCTGGCCCGTTGCAGGAGCCGTTCGGACGACCGATCAGCCAGGAGGATGGCTGAGTCGTCGGCCCATGTTGGGCAAAGAAGGGATAGGGGGAGCGAGGCAGCTTCCCGGACGGGGCACTCGAGCAGGCCTTCCCGCGCGGCAGCTTGTTCAATTGCCTTGACCAGGTCAGCTTGGACAAAAGCGAAAAGGACGTCGGCGATTGTGTCGCCGGGCCGCACCCCTGCATGTGTGCCAACGTAAACCCCATCTCCTCTCATCTTGCAGTGCGTGTTCGACATGAAAGTCTTGATGACACGTTGCCCGTGTGGGGACATGCGTTCAAGAAGAGCTGCACCCCGTGCCCAACACACGACTTCATGGAAATATTCAGCCGGTACTTCGAGACGGCGGAGGACGGTGAGGAAAGCCTCATCGCAGTCAGGGGCCTTGAAGAAGCACTCGCGTATGACGCGGTAGTACGCGGAAGTGACATCGAAGAAGAGCGCGGCGTGCGCTGATCGCTGGGCTCTGGCTGTGGCGAAGAAGGTTCTCAAGAGGTGGTGTCCAGATGGCAGCAGCGACCCGGGCATTCCTCCTTGGTGAAGCTCCTTAGCCTGCAGCGCGTCAAGAAGGGCCGCCCGCGAGGCTTTCCTTAGAAGCTTACCTGGCTCTTCCAGAAGGCAGATGGCGCGATGGTTGCACCAATCCCTGGCACTGCCTTTGCCTTTAAAAAGGCTTATGAGGTCGGTCGCCTTGGACTGGATGGGTTCGGTCAAGCGAACATGCGCTTTGAGGAAAAGCGGCAGCAAGGCCCTTGCCGCTTTGGTCGTGTTGGACTTCCACACCCACCCAGGCACGGAGCTTGGCCCTGGTGCTTTGCCGAGTTGGATGGAGCGGACAAGGTGTTCAATTTGCGTGAGGGTCGGCAGCTCCCGCAAGTCAAAAGTGCAGTCCAACGCGGGCTGTGCAGGTGCTCCGCTGAACAGTTCGGCCAGGGTAGTTTCCTCCCCAGCTTCAAGGGCTGCAAAGTGTTCTCTCTTGTCTTTGGTGAGGGCGATCGGGTCAGGCAATTGGTTGCCTTCCCCTCGTGTAATGACAAGCGGTGCAAAGGGCTTGAGGATCTTTTTGCCGGGTGGGCGGAGCGGGGCAAGGGCTTTGTAGAACGCCTTAGCATTGCCAGCATGCCCAGGGTTTAGGGTTTAGGGTTTAGGGTTTAGGGTTTAGGGTTTAGGGTTTAGGGTTTAGGGTGGAAATGGGAGAAAGACGGGGCGACGCACACCCGGTGGCCCGGAGGAGCTCTACGCCCTCCTCAAGGACAATCAGCTGACGCAGCTTGGCTTCAGACGGGGGACTGAAGGGTTTAGGGTTTCGGGTTTAGGGTTTAGGGTTTAGGGTTTAGGGTTTAGGGTTTAGGGTTAGGGGGGGCCCTCCAGCCTAAGCCCCTTTGCAAAAGGGTTTTGGATTTGGGGGTTCAGGGTCTCCAGGGTATTTTAGAGTTGGCGTCTAGGTTCCAACACTTTCAGGCAGGGCCTACGCCCAATATCCCAACTCAGGCAACATGGGGCACCTCTTCAGTTTAAGGCGTCTTCTGCAGTGGTGTTGGTCTCTTCGGTTCGATGGCCCTCTATATAATTTGGTACCCCCTCCCAGTTTAGGGTTTAGGGTTTACGGTTTACGGTTTACGGTTTAGGGTACTAGCTTCAGATACAATGGGCCGTTTTGAAAAACTAGTGTCAGCCACCTGCAAAGCAGGAACTTCGATCCTGTCAAAGAGGCCTTCAAGGCTGGTTCTGCCCTTTGAAGATTTAGGGTTTAGGGTTTAGGGTTTAGGGTTTAGGGTTTACGGTTTAGGGTTTAGGGTTTAGGGAAATGTCCTCGCTGGTTTTTGTTGTTTGGGGTGCCTGTATGCGTGCTGACCACAGAAGCCGCAAGGACTTTCTCGTTTAAATCTACTTTTGCCCAGTGTCAAGATAAGCGGCAAGGATGTGCTGCACCAAACGCTTCAAGCTTCAGGTCACACGGGAAACTGTAGGATTTAGGGTTCAGGGTCACAAGGGAAACTTTGGACTTCCTCAAGGTTGTGGTGGACGGTGGCTGCGACGGCATACTTCTGTGATTGCGAGGATGCGAGGTGCATACTAAGCCTTTGAAGCCCGCACAGAATATGCAGAGGTTATGCTCGCACTTGTGAGCCATTGGAAGAGCACACGGATGTCATGGCTGTTGCATTCTGAGAATATCCCTAAACAGCGGGGCATACACCTCGCTGTGCAAGAAAGCATATCACAACATGACATAGCAGTATTGCACCGTGGCTCGTTTGCAAACAGCGATTGGCTCGGGATGCCCAAGGCATCTGAGGCGTGAAGGGCAGCAAGCCTCGTGGGCCCATGGACAGCTCGAAGTTCATCCAACTGCCACCCAAGGGGCAAGATGCCCCTGCGGTTCTTTTCCGAAGCTCCTATCAATCCGGCGTCTTCTCCATCTTCTACTCCATTGGCAGGACGCCACTATACCTGTGGTCACTTAGTAGCTGAGTGAGCACACTTTACACTTTTTGGGGTACTATCATCCCCTATAAAACTGAAAGTGTACACCTTTTGGGGGCTTATGAACCCTAAACCCTAAACCCTCACCTAAGGTCAGCCTCAGTACGAAATGGGCACATCAGAAGGATCACCGATGAGGACATTGGGTCGGCCGCCTTGGAAGTTGCCGGGAACAATGTGACTTAGTAGCTGAATGAGGGTTTAGGGTTTAGGGTTTAGGCTTTAGGGCACTTTACACTTTTTAGGGGTACGATCATCCCCTATAGAACTGAAAGTGCACACTTTTTTGGGGGAGCTTATGAACTCAGCAACTTTAGCTGTTCTGATCTACTGAAGCCTTCGGGAAGCTGAGGGAAACTGCAACTAAGGTGAGCACCACATCCGTCACCTGTCCGGAGCAGCCAAGACAGACCCTGGGAATCAAGATGCCCTTTCTGGTGCTGCTGGTGAAGAACCTGCGCAAGCATCTTGGCTGCGATCTTCCTTAGATTTTAGGGTTTAGGGTTTAGGGTTTGGGGTTTAGGGTTTGGGGTTCAGGGCTTAGGGTTCAGGGTTTAGGGTTTAGGGTTTAGGGGGATGATAGGGTTCTTAAGGGAGGGGAGTTCAAGGGGGTGTGTAACCCAAGGTTCCCTATTACTGGCTCCCTAAAGTTCCCGAGGTACCTACTACCCCCCTTGAAGCCCACTCCCTGAAGAACCCCATAATTTTCTCCCAAACCCTAAACCCTAAACCCTAAGCCCCACACCTGCTAAGCTTAACATCATCCTGGAGTTTCAATGCAAAGGGGTTTAGGAAAAAAAAGTGTTAGGGCTTTACTACTCCTTGCTGAAGAACCCCGCAGAAAATGTAAAATAGTCTTCCTGAGAACGGCAAGATAGGGATTGGGAGTATTAACTTTTGTTTTTTTGGGTGTTCTGATAGGGCTAAACCCTAAAACCCTAAAACCCTAAACCCTAAACCCTAAACCCTGAACCCTGAACCCTAAACCCTGAAGATAGTTAAGGTACTTCTGCTTCGAAGTCGAGCTCCTGGACGACACAGGAGGGGAGAGTTAGGGGTGGAGGAGGGGGAGCAGGGAGGGAGGGTTTAGGGTTTAGGGTTTAGGGTTTAGGGGGTTTAGGGGGTTTAGGGGGTTTAGGGGGTTTAGGGGGTTTAGGGGTTTTGGGTTGAGGGTTGATTGTTGAGGGTTGAGCGGGGAGGGAGCCATTCTGGCGGCGTACTCGCGAGCTGTTTAGCCAGGCAGCGGATATTTCCTCACGGTAGCTGATGTACATTCCGTTTCGCAAAGGGGGCATTGCGGTATTAGGCTTTCTGGAACCCTAAAGCCTAAACCCTAAGCCCTACACCCCAGCAGGTGCCCGCGACATACCAAGCCGCGTCATGACCGCATCCTAGGAAGCCTCCTACTTGATCGACTTGCTGGGAGGGCTTAGGGGTTTTTAAGATTTTGTGGAGTTCTGGTTTAGGGTTCAGGGTTTAGGGTTTAGGGTCTAGGGTTTAGGGTGTAGGGTTTTGAGGATGTTTGGGGGTTCTGGTCTTGGGGTTCATAGGGTTTGGAGGGTTCACGGAGGGGTGGGGGTGGGGGGGGGGGGGGGGGGGCTCGGGCTCGTAACCCTAAACCCTAAACCCTAAACCCTAAAGCCTGGGCAGCTGCAGGACAGAAGCGACGATTCAAGACGAGTACCTTCAACTCAGGGACGAAGGCTCGGCTTAGGGCTTAGGAATCGCGTCCCTAAACCCGAAACCCGAAACCCTAAACCCTAAACCCCAAACCCCAAACCCTAAACCCTAAACCTATACAGGGGTCAGTTTGGGGTTTAGGGTGTAGGGTTCCTTACAGTATCCTAGAGAAAACTCTGTAGTTCAAGGTATCATACCTATTGGACCTGCATTGAAGAGTCTTCCGGGATCAAGAAGTGGTGTTGAAACGCCATCATATGTTTGCTCGTGGCGGTCTTCGTGGCTTGCTTCACCAAAGAGCTTAGTAGTAGAGTAGATAACCTTTAACCTTTTTGGGGTAGTATATTCCCCTTATAATCCCAAAGGTTAACCTTTAAAACCCCTAGGTACTGGACAACTCAGAGAGTCCTTCCAGCCTGAATGCCTTTTTTCCGGAATGTGGGGTATTCGGGTTACGAGGGTTGTGGGGTTGCAGGGGTTGCGGTGTTGGACCGAAAAGTGACCCATGGAACAGACTTTAAGGGTCCATGTACCTACCTAGGGAATACTTGGGGCTTAACGTAGGGACTCTAGGGCCCAAGTATATAATCAT